TGGATTCGTCTGAAAGAAGAAAGTCATATACACCTAGGCTGCTTTGAGGGTGAGTAAAACATGGGCTAATTTAAATTTTTGGGTGAACTAACCCTTTAAGACATGCTTTTTTGGCCATTAAATAATGGTGCGAATACCAGTAATTTGACGAGTGCAAAGGTTAGTAAATCGTGTTGCGTGATTCATTTTAATACTTTCCTCCCATAAACTTTTTGTCTGAAAGGGAACTCCTACATATGCATATTCAATAAGGTCAGGTGCAAAAATAACTGTCCATGCCTATTCAGTGCTAATTCTTCACTGCATGTTTTTAGTAAATCCTGACAGTACTATTTTAACGCCGAAAGACGGTTTGTGCTGGCGCAAGCTGTTAGTAAATCTGGCCCAATCAATGTTTAATTGAGTTAAAAAAATGTATATCTGTTCATCATATGAAGCAATCATGTCTCTTTAGAAGACTTGGATTGAACCACTCGATTCATATAGATTATGTTAATCCTTTTTAAACTTTTCAAAGCATGAAAGGGAATTGACTTACAATGGACCAACAGCAATCTCTCAGGTGTCATAAAAAATACAAAATTGTCATATGTGTTACAAAGATGAACGAACCAAAGTATTATGGGTTTCAAATGAAACAAGGGTGAGAAAATGATTACAAAAAATATATATATTTCTTTAAAGGTGCAGTAGCCAAAAAGTGTGTTTATAGAACTAATAGAAATTCAATACAACTTTGACTTTTGAGTGTAGAACATATTTCCTCGAAACTGAAGCTCTACTGTTGGACGCTGTCACAGTCAAAGAGGAATTCCCCCTCGAACAATAAGAACTGTCTGACCAGTAGCGCCACTGTTATTTGTGTTTGCTAAACATTTTGTAGATTCGTGTTGTTTATTTTGATTTTGCTGTACGGGGTAAAGCACTGTGTAGGCCGAGCCTATTTATCACCATCATTGGCTTTGGCTTTTACACATCTTTGTGGATGATGGTTGCTCACTGATTGAATTTCATGACATTGTTACTTAGGCGATGTCTTGTGGTTGTTTTTGTGTATGCGTTCTTTGAAAAAGGACAGAATTTATCAGGATGATTTATTTTTGCTACTCTGTGTCCTAAAATAGCAAGACGCTGCGGATGGCAGTGGTTCAGACCTTTTTGTTTAGAACCTAATCATCACATTTCATCATAAACTGAGAAACAGGAAGGGAATGTAGGTATTCTCTGAAATATGGATGCAGTATTAAAATAAACAGCATACATCAAATCAGCAGCACATTAAGAGTGAAGTTGATTCGCTGTAGGATGGTGGGGCTCTGCCTTTGATGGATGAGGCCATTCATCGTGCAGTGGGGTACATTAGGCGGCTGTCTCTGTTTACACAAGCACTACCCTCCAGGCCACGTCTTCAACCAATAGGTTGAATAACCAATTTCTGGGTAGCATTTGAAGACTCAGTGGTATAACCTTATAACATACAGTTGTAACCATATTTGGGGAGCAACTAAAAATAGCAAATGTAATGTTCATAGATTAAAGTTGGGGTAAGCGATTTCTGGTAGCCAATGTTGACATTTGAAATCACCTAAACACGCCCCTACCCCAAAAGGGTCTCGCCCCTATTTCTCGGCGTCCGATCGCAGGCCTTCCGCTCCTTGAGTTCTCTCCAGCGCTGGAAAGCTGATCCGATATTTACACGGGTCCTACTTCTTGCCTTAAGCCTTCTTTTGTTCCGCAGACGTTTTCCTCTTTTGTTTTTTATCCGCCAGCTCCATCTTTCTATCGCTCGGCTCAGCTAATGTCTGTCCTGTGCACTGAACTCTCTCTCCTCCACATCATGAGTAGACACGCCCCTTGCTGCTGATTGGCTACAAGTTTGTTTTGCTAGTAGACCCGAATCAGTTTTCTAAAGCGTTTTTGAAAAATCGCTTACCCCACCTTTAACTACCTAATCCAAAATTATCCGAAATGGGCATCACCACATGCCATGGATATTCCATTCTATAGGCCTATATTTACATCTACGTCTGTATTAGGGCTGTGCAATATATAGAAATTATCGAAATATCGCAAATGTACATCGCAATATGCATATCGCTACAGCTTGCAATATTTGGGGCCATGAACAAAAGACAAAGAGGAAATCACTCACTGCTCTTACCTAAATAACTTTTGTAGCTTAAATACGAATCAGTGCATATTGAATTCAAAGAGTAAATTCTAAGCAGTTTTTTATTTTTCCTTTTTATTATTCAGTTCCTAAACTCATGTTAAAATGATTACACTAATGTTAAAATTACATTTTTATGTAATGCTCGAGTAAAACACTACCGTTCACTTTCAGAAGTTGTTGTAGGAGTGCTTTCTTATTAGAATCGGAATCAGAATGAGCTTTATTCACCACTTAAGTGTGCGCAAACACAAGGAATTTGTTGTGGTTTTACAGGAACTCTTGGTACATGCATACATACAAATAACCATATATAGAGTCATGGCTAAAAATATCAGCACCCTTGGTAAATATGATCAAAGAAGGCTGTGAAAATTAATCTGCATTGTTAATCCTTTTGATCTTTTATTTAAAAAATTCACAAAAATCTAACCTTTCATTGGATAATAAGAATTTAAAATGGGGGGAAATATACATGTTGTGTTTATTTTCTCATATACACGTTGGACACAATTATTGGCACCCCTAGATACAATGCAGATTAATTTTCACAGCCTTCTTTGATCATATTTACCAAGGGTGCCGATATTTTTGGCCATGACTGTATATGACACAAGATAGTTATAGAAGTTCACAGAACTGACTCAGCAACAGCTGAGTAAAACTGTTTCATCTGAGCATGTGGCACTTTAAGCATTATCGTATCGCATATCGCATTTTTCTTCAATATCGCACCGCCCTAATCTGTATATAGTTTATTCTG